CAAACTGATCTTTATGTTGTGAAATTAAACACAACTTGCTTAAGAATTATGCACTTTAATGCGGTCTGCTGTTTCTCGCTTTATCGAGTGCATTTCTCAAGCTCAAGTGTCTCTGACTGACAAGACCAGAAAAGTGTACTCGATATTCTAAATGAGAATTTGAAACATCCTAATTCTCAAATACAGGTCCTTATCTTCACGCTCTACTCTAAATCTAGTTTGCCACATTTTCCTTACATCCATCTTTTATTGTGACTGTTGGTTCTGCTTTTCTAGAATGCTGCTGTTGAAGCCCTTAAACGCTATGTTCCTTCTTATCTTGTGTCCATGGAAAAGAAGGGAGTCAATAATATATTGTCAAGATACCTTGAAATGTTGACCGATCCCAATGTGACTGCAAGACGAGGATCAGATCTTGTTATAGTAGTTGTGCCTTTTTAGTTTCTGGCTAAAGATTGGAAATCAGTACTAACCCTGACAAGAGGGATGTCAAAGCACTTGCGAATGCCGTCAAAGGGCTCGTCTCCGTCTGTGAGACTTTAAGTGCATGCTTGGATATAAATTTTTTTGAAAAATCCAATCATTTTAACCAATCACATTTTTAACTCAAATCTAACTCAACTTTAATTCAACCACACTATCCTAAATATTGTCAACATAATTAAAGAATGTCATTCAATCATTCTTACACATTACATCAACTTTAAGTCACTGTTCATCTACTCACATAATTTTAACTAATCATCATTTCACATCTCTTCTCTCATACTTTTACATTCAATCAGCATTGATTATTTTATTTTAAATATTATTTTAACATAAACTCAAAATTTCACTAGCAACTACCATACCACTTTTTTTTTAAAAAAAAAAATTAACCATACCAAACCAAAAAATTCAAACAAATCTAAACATCTTATATCTAAGCACTAAGGCAGGTCAATTTTCTGCTTTAATTTCACAAAAAGATGGTCGTTCCCTGTTTTAACTTTATTAGGAATGAAGTGATGTGCGGTCTTTTTAAAGCTTTAGATAGATGTTTACTCAACAACAATAGGGGTGACGTGGGTTCTTGGATTCGTGAGACTGCAATGGATGGCCACGAGAGATGTACATATATCCTCTGCAAGGAAGATTCTATTGATCAAGATAAATTGTCAGTTCCGGAACCTGAGAAAAGTGATAGACAAATTAGCTCATATTTTGATGCCATCTTGGCAAACGAATTAGTTGGAGGCCTCTTCAAACAAGCTGTAGAGAAGATGGATAAAATAAGGGAATCAGCAGGAATAATTCTCCAAAGAATCCTGCATATTAAATTGCATTTTGTGACAAATATACCACACAGGGGAAGTTCTCAAACAAGTAGTTCCAAATGAGGCTGATGTTAAGGGGTGGTGAGTTACGTAACAAGATAGGGCTTAATTACAACAATACTCCCTGAGTAACTCCAACTCTTAATATTGTCAAAGGAATATAGTTTCATTTGTTTATTTATTTTGGTAGTTAGGCTTACCCAAAGGGTTAATTTAGTCATTAGCTCCAGCAAAAACAAACCCAAATGACCCTCTTATTGCTGATGCTTCTGTCTACTTTTATTGCAGGTCACAACAGTCTCGTATCCTCGTTTTATTCATCTTCTTGAAGTTGGTTGCTATAGTAAATTTGTGGTGTCTGGGCTTGTTATCTCTATTGGCGGGATTCAAGAGTCTTTGGCAAAGGCATAATCAGTGCTTTGTTAGATTATCTTCAGGGTACAGTAACCAAAGGCCGTGATGACTCTCGAGTGTTGTCATTGTCTAAGGACATTCTGTGGGTTCTTGAAAAATATAGAAGATGGACAGAGTCATCACACCCACTTTGATGGTACTCCAAACAAACTGTAACGAAAATTTCATCACACCCACTTTGATGGTACTCCAAACAAACTGTAACGAAAATTTACTGGGAAAAGGTTTCTAGCTAAAATAATTAATTTGATAAATGTTGGGTTCTTACTCATCTTTCTGATGTTTGAGAAGTCCTTGTAATATGACCCATCTCTGTTTCAGACAATCGAGACACTTTTCAGGGAGATGTTATTGTTGAACATAGGTTAGTGTGCTATTCGATTCTTTTTTATTTATTTAATTATTATTATTTTTTTTTGAAATGCACTTTTTTATGCTTTACATTTTGTAAAATGTTCATTTGTTTTGGTTGCCTATGCTTCTGTCTTGACGCGGTATGATTTTGGCAGGCACACACTCCGATTTCTGTGCTGGTGTTTGGATTCCCTTGGAGCAGAGCTGAGAGAAACAAAGGATTTCTCTAAATTAAGGACGGGAATTGCAATACTCGGATATGTTGCTTCAATATCGGACCCCATCAGCATAGGGCATTCTCTCATCTGCTGCTGTTCACCAATATGCCAAGGTCTGTGCTTGCAAAGGAAAAAGAAAGATAAAAAGAAATCAAACTATCTTTTAGGAATAGTTACAAAATTTACACCCAACGTTCCAATTTACATAAATACATGACTAACTTTGAAAATTACAATAACATCCTTGACTTTACGTCTTGTCCAACATTTTGCATCAGTATGACTTTATGAGCTAACCGGAACTGATGGCATCTAATATGTGGACAGTCTCATCCTTCTTCATTTTAAAATATTACAAATAGCAAAGAATTTTGTTGTACATTTTGCACTGCATTGCTCAATTTCTAAAAATTTTACAACTAGCCATATAAAATATTTTGCATGTATACATTACTTGGGAAGAGTTCATGGATGTCACCATGAAAATATGACGAAGTATGCAAATTTAATTTGGTCAGTTATCGGTTGGTGGGCAAAATGTAAACGGAATCACACCCACAGGCGGTTCCATAATTTTTACTTTGGATAGTTTAACGAGTTCTTTTTTCTTGGAATTATCCTTGTGGTATAAATTGCACGTCATGAACCAAAATTTCCTTTAAGATCCGGCAATTTGCAGCCGATGAAGTTCTTGTTTTCCTACAAGCAAATGGGAACCTTGTGGCCGAGGATAAACTAGATGAAGCCAGTCTTGAAAGTCAACAAACGGTAAACAGCACTCGGACTATATTGGAAAATGGTGTTGAGTGGAAACGGGCATCGACTGAAGAGAATGCTTCGTACTCCTTGTTAGTTGGGTCCATTGGGTTTTAGGAGTGGTTGTGTTCGTTCTGTGTTGTTTTTCTGCTGACCGCATGCTTGCTCGGCGTTTGGTAAGAGTTTGATAAGAGTTTTTCATTTTAGGAGTTTGGTAAGAGCTTTTGGTTTTAATCTTCGAAATGAAACTGCAAAAAATTTGATGTATTCATTTGGGGATGAATGTGGTGAGGTTGTTTACCATTTTTCTTTTTCTTTGTTCTCTTTTTCCCCACGAGAAATAGCTCTTTCCCCACTTGTTAAAAAAAGGTGAATAAGGAGATATAGCTAAAAAAATAAGAAGAAACAAACATTGTCTGTTCACTTACAAATTTCGTATAATTATAAGGGTCGTTATGTGATCTTGTGCTGACTTCCTCAATTGAGAGGTTTTAATTTGTCGACAAAACATTTGACAGGAGAATGCAGAATAGTGTGCTGATTTCCTCAATTAGGATTCAAAATATAATTTCTTGTGTCATTTGCATACGTGTTGTGTGTGTTTTCTGGGCAGTTGTCAACTTGCCTAATTAAGAACACGGACGGACTGATGATTTTCCCTTTTTCTTTTATTTGGCAGAAATCCCCATCCTTCACTACAAATACAAAGGGAGCACAATGGAGACACACTTACAAACACAAGTAAAAGCGTACATTGTACAACAAAAGAACAGGCCAGACCAACTTGAAAGCAATATAAGTAGAAGACTTAAAGAGAAAATCCAATTTATCCAAATCATAGAAAGCATCTTTACAAATAGTATCTGCATCAACCAGAATTTAAGAATTTGTCATATATGAGAGAGAGAGAGAGAGAATAGGAGGTAGGTTTAAAGAGGGGGAATTGGCGTTGGCCAATCCGAATGCAGCATAGGAAAAGCAGTGAGTCGGTTATCATACGATTCATATTCGATCACCTTCAGCTTCAACGGCTCCCGAAGCTGGCCGACCTTCTCCCATGCAGGCCTCACCAGATCATACTGGTACACACCACTTTCCCACACAACGAGAACCGCGTCCCTATCCATCGGATGCAAATAAACCCCAACAAACCAACCCTCTCCTTTCGGCCTTGCATACGTCCTATCGTGCACCAACACCCACTCTGACACCTCTGCCGCCGCTACCTCCCACACCTTGATACCAAAAACTCTCTTATCAGACGACAACACCACAACCTGCACAAGCCTCAGCCCACTCTCTCCCGCCACGAACCCAATCTGCTGGCTCACGTGACTGACGCTTCGATCCGGAAACCACCAGAAATCGCTCGGGAATCGGATCACACTGCTCTCACCTCTCGACACGTCCAGACAGACTACCCGGCGGAGCGAAGACCACCGCTCGAACTCCACAAAGTAAACGACCCCGTCCCACGCCACCGGGTCCACCGAGCAGATGGTCGCGAAACTGCTCGGAAGCGGGTAGCTGAACTGCAGGACCTCCCACTGCCCAGTCGTCGAGCGATAAACCGACGCCTTTTGTCTCGTGGGCCTCGGCGGTCCCCAGTGGGGGATTTCGGGCTGATGCAAAAGCACCACATCCAAGTTGTTGCTGTCCCTGTCGAGAATCAGCGCATACCCATACACTTTAAACAATTTTCTGGGGCGCCTTGGGACCTGCCGGTACTGTCTGGTGATGGGGTTGCAGATGTAGAGATCGGATTTTGACTGGCGGGCCCGCGGGGGAAACGAGGACGAGGTCGCCGCACGATGCTCGGAGCACCACTTCCGGCAGTGGTAGGAAGTCGAGATGCAACCGAGACCTGTTGTGGAGGAGAGAGGTTGATTCCTTGGAGAATATGTGGCAGAGGGGTTCGAGTGCTTTGGGAGACTGGGCACTGGCTTTCTTGGCTAGACAGAAACTTACGGTGTAAGGCAGAGGGTAGCGGTCCCGGTGGAGGTGGCGATGGGATACGAAACTCGAAACAAAGCGAGGATGGGAAATCAGGGAGTGCCAGCGCCGACAAAATGAACCGACCAGAATAGCCACTGCGAAGTTCGGCAGACGAACGAATATCTCCAACAATATGTCCTCGTTGGCTTCGTCCAAGAAATCACATACTGCAAACATGTGGGCAACAGAAACGACGGAGATGAAACAAGCAGTGTTTTTGTGTTGTATTCATTGAGCCTATCTATCTACGAAACGAAGGATGTAATTTAATTAGTTTGTTTTATTTAGATGCGAATCTATATTCTCTAACCAATCAAATGGGTTTTCTCAGCATTAGAATTTTGTTGAGAATCTATAATAAATACCAATATTTGTATGCTCTTGTAAACGAATCAAATTATTTAAAAAAAAAAATTGCAACTTATACAATAATATGTAAAATATATGCTGGCCAACCTGCTTTTAGATCATGAGGGGGCGAGTTGTTATCTACAAGCTTCATTCTCTTCACCTAGCACAGATAAAGCCAAAAATTATCAATGAGCAATTTAAGGACAAGTAATACAAATTTAATAGAAAATGAATCTTTTTGGAACACAGAAAAAATATCTTTATTTATCGTTTCAATTCCAGAAAACAGAATTTTTAATAGAAAATAAATGAAATATTCCATTTTGGAAAGGTTTTTGCTACCAATGCTCTACGGCTATGGCTGGTCATGGTATGAACCGAAGATAATTAAGCAATTACAACCTAGCTTTCATGACCAAACAAAAAGGCTTAAATAATGCAAAATCCTCCTATCTCCAAGTTCAAGCTTTACACAAATGAAGTGATATTGTAATCAAGTCCCAACAAGAAAGTCAATCAATTTATTGGAGATATTCAACAAAGCTACACACCATACGAACCACACACCTTAACTTAAGATTACGAATTATTTTATAACATCTAAATCTAATATGACGTCCAGATACTTTACGAGGAAATCTATAACCTCTATATCCTAAAAACATTATGGGAAACCTGAAATTGAACCCTAATGAAAAANAAAAAAAAAAAAAAAAAAAAAGATCAAAGTTTCAGGGACCTTGTCGGCGGTCCAAAAGCCGGATGGCAGGAGCACCGTTGGTCCAATGGTCGAGGGGACAGAATATGGGTAAAATTTTAACTTGCGGAGATGAATTGCCGGCGAACAGAGGTTAAAGTCGTGACGAGCGGCGGCCGAGGAAAACTGATGGAGATGAGCTCGCGGTGGCCTTTTTTGAGAAATAGTTGCGGCATTAATTTGATTATTTAAGTTGCATTATTATTATTATTATTATTATTATTATTATTATTATTATTATTTATTTATCTTGTTTAGTTGATTAGGAAAATATTTATTTTGATTAGGAAAAAAATTATTTCCTTCTAGCAAGTTAGAAAATTTAGGAGATCATGAACTCTATTTATTCTCTTTCTTATGACGAAACTGAGGGTGAATATTGAATAAGATTTTATCGGTTGAGATTTTTATCTCGTCTCCCTTTTTCGCTGCGCTACATAAAAAACCTCGCTCTGTTTTTAATTTTGGGGTCGGGAAAATTTCGAGAAAACTGATGAAGATACAACCGTGGTTTGTGTGCTCGTGAAAATCTGCAGTAAGGCAAATTACAAGCAATTCGTGCTCGGAAAGAGTTGAGTCGTCAGGTTACCTCGTAGTTGGCTCGTACCCACTTAACAATAGATATCTTTTAACAATTAAATGACATGTGTACTTTTACATATTTAATTAAATAAATCTATATTTGTATAAAGATTTGATTATTTTTTAAATAGTAATCATTTCTCTCCAAAAAAAATTATTTATACTTTAATAAATTAATTTAACAATTTATGGTATATTTCAAATGATCACTTATGAAAATTGCGACTCATTATTTAAGGAAGTAATTAAGCCATAGTTTAATATATCTTAATTACTTAAATCATGTGAATTAATTAATAGGGTTTAATACACCAAATCTCCCTATATTATACTAAATTTGCGCGTTTCCCCCTGTATTTTAAAAATTGCGTCAGACCCCCTTCTATTAAGGTTTTGCATGCGCGAAATACCCTAAACCGTCTAAGATAACGGAAGTGGCGTGCACGCGCGTGCTATGCGGCTTTTTCTTCATTTTTTCACCCCAAAGTGGCGAAAATTACTGTTTTACCCTTGAATTATGTGCAAAACCTAAATGATATGAAATGTGGGCAACAAGATTTGAACCAATATTGGAAATGAAGGGAATGACCGCTCAACCACTAGGCCATATGATGGATGTATAATCTATTGAACATAAATATATCTATACATCATACTGAAAAGAATTAAATAGTTTAAAAATAAGTAAATAAATAAAATAAAAGGATAATATGTCAATTTACTATAAATTAAATAATTAATAATAATAATACTAATAATTTCCAATAAATTAAATTAACTTAAAATAATAAAAAAAAATTAAAATTAAAATAAAGTAAGATAAAATTTAATGTATTAGGGTGAACTAAAATTAAATAAAGTTATAACTAAATAAATTTTAAATGATAAAAATAAATACAAAAATGAAATTAAAAAAAATAAAATTAAAATAAACTAATTAAAGAAAAATAAAAATAATAATTATATAAGATAATTAAGTATAAAAATTATAAAGTAAAATAAATAATAAATCATATATCTTATTATGAAATAATAAATTAAATAAATAAAGAATTAAAATTAATATAATATAATATAATAAAAATATTATTTATTGATATGGTCATATAAGGATAACCCGGTCTAAGAGGCTTCCTACTCGACCGGTGAGCCATTTGAACGACTCAGATATCGAGGTGATTCGTCGATATGTTCGAGTCGACTTCCTAAAAACAATCAAGAAGAGGCAGAAATTGGTTTAGTCGACTCCCACAAGTCGACCTCTATCTATCGACTTTTGCTAGTCGACCTCATACTAGAAGGACATCAAGAATGCAACTCCCAACTATCCAGATACTCTAGGTCGACTTCCACTAGTCGACTTCTTCATGACGATTCTCCAAGAGACGACCACCGCAGAGGATTAAACCAGGCGTAGCCTCCGAAACCGCATATATTCATAAGTCGACCTCTTAGTTCTCGAGGTCGACTCTGTACATCTCGAGGATCAAAGTGGTGAAGCCGATTCACCACACTTGTAACATATCCAAAGCTCTATACATTACCAAGGATAAGAAGGAATCTTGCGATGACTCAGCAACAAAGGGGAGACGAATCGACAGGGGCATTTTGGACCTTCGAGGTCCACCGACTTGGGCATTTTGGGCACTTCAAGTAAGTATTCACTCCTATATAAAGGAGGTGAGGTAACCCTAAACCCTAACTCTCATTCATTCCCACTCTCCCCCATAGCTGCTGCGCAGCCTCTCTTCATCACTCACATACTGACTTGAGCGTCGGAGGCTCTACGCCGGAAACACCTCCGGCGTTGAGTTTTTGCAGGTATTCTCGCGGTCTAGCAACGGTTTTGAAGCGGTTCAAGCAGATCTGAGCTCACAACCACCGGTTTACTTCGGATCTGGGAGTAGACCCATCATTTATCAAATAATTTTAATATGATTTACTCTTAATAAATATATTACTATTTAATATAAAAACAAAATGATAATTTCATTTTAATAAATTAATAATATAAATGTAAAATAAATTGTAGTATAAAATTTCGATATACGTTTTAATGGATTGACGTAATATAATCTGTATAAATTATATTAAATATAATTTATAATAAAATTAAATAATTAATTTAATTAATTAAATTTATAAGAAAATTAAATGATAAATTAAATTAAATAAATTTTTTTATAAAATAAATGATACTTATATATAATATATTATTAAAGTATAATTTCGAAAACAAAATATTTTTTATTAAATAGATATATATGATTTGTATTTATTTATTTTAATTATTTTTATAATATTTAATATTTTTTAAATCTTTTATACTCTCGCGAAGCGTAGAGGGCTTGAAGCGCTCCAGTCCGTTGCTTGTTCCCCGAAGGATATAGATTTACTTAATTATTATATTATTTATTATTTAACTACAATTTTTTTATATTTATTTATATATTTTTTAATTATTTTTTTCGTTTAACATAATAAGTTATTTAAATTATTTTTTTCGTTTAATTTTATATTATTTAGTTTATTATATTTGAATTATCATAACTTTATATTTTAATAATTTAATTTAATATAATTTATATATTCTAAATTTAATTTCACTTATCCATAACAATGTCCATATATATCAAACATTCCTAGTCCTCACACTCAACCTTGAATGGTGTAATGTTGCATTGCTTGTCTTGCTCCCATGAGGTACCAGGTTCCGTTAACGGAGAAATAGAGACAAGGGAGCGTGTGCACCTGAAACCTTAATAGAAGGGGGTATGACGCAATTTTTAAAATACAGGGAGAAAAGCGCAGATTTAGTATAATACAGGGGGGTTTGGTGTATTAAACCCTTAATTAATATATGATATATAGTGGAGGAATTTATTTTTGGTATAGATGGTTGTTTCTATGGAAAATAAATTAATCAATATATGGTATAAAGTGAACAAATTTATTTAAGTTAGTTGATAACTATTTTTTTGTAGGAAATTTGTTGAAAAATTAATCAATAAACTGCGAGTGTTCACACTAGGGGCGGTACCGTAATTACTTGGTTTGTTGCGTTCACACTTAAAGAGTTGGTTAATTACGGTACCGCCCCTAGTGTGAACACTCGCAGTATATAAACAACCTCGTCCTGCTTGTTTGTTGCGTTCACACTTGAAGAGTTGGTTAATTACGGTACCGCCCCTAGTGTTCATAATACTGCGAGTGTTCACACTAGGGGCGGTACCGTAATTACTTGGTTTGTTGCGTTCACACTTAAAGAGTTGGTTAATTATGGTACCGCCCCTAGTGTGAACACTCGCAGTATATACGTTCACACTAGGGGCGGTACCGTAATTACTTGGTTTGTTGCGTTCACACTTAAAGAGTTGGTTAATTATGGTACCGCCCCTAGTGTGAACACTCGCAGTATATACGGTGTACTTTTTTCTGTAATGCGCAGGCTAATATATTGGTTTGTTTTTAGGCGTGAGTTTCAATTTTTTGTATGAAATTAACATAATATAATTACCGTAACTCTGACAAAATAACATGTACTGATATTTTGATATAATGTGTGTGTATCGATATTTTTTTTTTATAGAAAACGCTCTGGTCAATTTTTTTTATATAATTAGTGGGTCTTTTTTTAAATCATTTTTTGTTATGACATTTCAAATAATTTTTTTGTGAAATGCACTGTTCATTTTTT